GTCATAGAATATTATTCTGTAATATTTACCACACTCTAAAATTAGAACATTATTAGCATATTCTATACCTCACAGTTCAAGATTATAAAAATATTTAAGAATTAAAATATCCATAAACATTCTCTTACTCCTAAATTATGGAAAACTATATGGACAAAAGAGATAGAGCTACAAAGACCAGAGCAGATGTTACTGTTTGACCTACAAATAGCTGTGCTGTCATGTAGAGAGAAGAGTATAATCTCATTTATAGTGTTGGAAATTGAGTTTCCCCTTTTAAGAACAAAGCAATTTGATTTTTGAAAATGTTTGAATTTAAGTATGTAAGAAAAGGACCTCTGTGTTAACAGGTTCATTGAATTTTATTTCTTTATTTTACATGTACTCAATTTTTGATTTGTGGGCGGAATTTTATTCTAGTTACCAGTTTTGTATTGAATAAGACAAAAATCTCCACCATCTATTTTGATAGCTTAGAGTCACTTGTCATTTACAATGAAATATATGTTTTTTCCTAATAAATATTTTATCATTTAAATCCTCTGCCTTCCCTCTTTCCTCATGTCCATGGACAGTTGCCTTAAATTCTGAAATAAAACCAATTAATCCTAAATATAGACTGGGTTATGTTGATATCATGTGATGATGTATACATTTCCTGAAATCTGTCCCGTGAACCAGCAGCATCAGCGTTTTCTGGGGACTTGTTAGAAATGTGAATTCATGGACAACATCCCAGATTTGTTGAATTGGAAATTCTGCAGGTTGAGTCCAGCAATCTGTGTGGTGACAGTGCTCCCAGGGAACTTGAAGCATGATTAAATTTGAGAACCACTGGTCTATAGCATTGCATAGCACTCAGGTACTGAAATCTCCTATTCCCTGCAAAAAAAAGTCTTTGTTTGAGTGTGAAAGCATGCATGTATGTGAAGGGAAGGGCTACATCTTTCCATCAATCTTTTGACCAAGTTGGTTGGTACAAGCATACATTGGATTGGATTATTTATGTAGGTTGGTTCATATCGTCCTTTAACCCTATCTTTCAATTTACGGATGAGAAATTCCTGCCTACCTTTAATTTTTTAATACAGCTGGCCCATTTGTAACTTTTTCTTCTTTTTTAGCTCATTTCCAGCTCTTTGTTGCCTGATGGAAAGGAGGGCAGAGCCTTGAAAAAGAATCAATATTGCAAAAGAACCTGGAGAGCAGGCAGCATGCTGGATTCTCCTCTACACAGTTGATATCCGTGACTCCTCATAGCAGTTCTTCCCATTAGCTCCCATTATTTTCAGAACATTGTTGCAGGTTCATGTACAAAACATCAAAAGTACCTTTTAAGTGTACCATTCTGTACATTGTAGTAAATTCATAAAGTTGTGCTGCTATAATCCAAATGCAATTTGATCACATATCCGTTGTTCTAAAAAGATCCTTCATGTATGTGGTTCACATTTCTCCACATTCTCTTTTGAAGATGGTCTATCACTTGATCATGGCCCTTCCTTGGGAACAAATTTTTTATGTCATCATGGACTTAACTTATATTTTTCTAGTAACATAATGATATTGAACATCATTTAATATGCTTATTGGTCGTTTTTTAATGTCAAGTGTTAGCCCACTTTTAAAATTGGTTGTTGGTAAGATCATGTAGTTTTGTGATGCCTTTATATATTCTGGGCACATGTTCATTTTAGACTTAATTTTCATAAATATTTTTTCTTCTATACTGCGGTTTGGGTTTTAAAAATTTTCTTCATTGTTCTAATGTTGCCTTTTAAAGCACAGACATTTTTAATTTTGATTGAGTAAAATGACTATTCTCTTACAAATTTGGGCATATTTAAGAACTGTTGACTTAACCTCAAACCACATTTTGCCATTATATATTTTCTACATATTTTATAGTTTGGGGTCCCTATATTTTGACTTATGATTTAATTTGACTTATTTTTTATTTGGTGTGAGATATCAGTCTATTTTATATATGTCTTGTGTCTTTTTTGTTCTTCTATTTCTGTTTTATTAGTATCATTGCTGTTTGATAGATGTTTCCTGGTGTGGCATTTTAATTCCTCTGATATTGTATTGGTTTTGATTTTCTTTGTTTTTAACTTTGTAAAGATGTATTATTTTTAAATATTTATTTATTTATTCATTTATTTATCTTTTTTTTTTTTTTGGAAGGGAGAGTACGATGGATTAAACTCAGGGACACTCAACCACTGAGCCACATCCCAAGCCCTTTATTTAGAGACAGTGTCTTACTGAGTTGTTTATCACCTCGCTTTTACTAAGTCTGGCTTTGAACTCACGATCCTCCTGCCTCAACCTTCCGAGCCGCTGGAATTACAAGCATGGGCCACCATACCCGGCTTAAATATTGATACTTAGTTGAGAAAATTATATAAATTATCATGTGCAACATGTTGCTTTGAAATGTGTAGACATTGTAAAATGGCTAAATATATATTAGCATATATATTTACTAGCATATATATTACCTCATATATTCATATTTTTGTGGCCTGACCCCTTAAAATCTACTCTTAGAAATTTTCATGAATACATCATTTTTAACTGTAGATATCATGTTGTATGACAGAACTCTCAAATACATTGCTTCTAACTGAAATTGTGTATCCATTTAGCCAACATCTCACTGGTTCTACCTTTCTACTCTTAACTTCTTTTTAATTTTTTTAATTGGTTCTTTTTAATTATACATGACAATATAATTAATTTTGATATAATTACACAAGAATGAAGTATATCTTATTTCCATTTTTATGGATGTATACAATGGTGGGATTCACAATGGTATATTCATATATGCACATGGGAAAATTATTTCAGATTCATTCTACTGTCTTTCCTTTTCTATCCTTCTCCCTTCCCTTCATTCCCCTTTGTCTAACCTACTGAATATCTATTCTTTGCCCCTTCCCCCTTATTGTGGGTTAGTTTCCAAATATCAGTGAAAACATTCAACCTTTGGCTTTTGGGGATTAACTTATTTCACTTAGCATCATAGTTCCCAGATCCTTCCATTTACTTGCAAATGTCATTAAAGTCATTCTTTTTTGGGGCAGAGTAATACTCCATTGTGTAAATATACCACATTTTCTTTACCCATTCCTCTGTTGATGGGCATATCAATTGGTTCTATAGCTTAGCTATTACAAATTGAGCTGCAATAAACATTGATGTGGTTGCATCACTGTTGTATGCTGATTTATATCATTTGGATATATACCAAGGAATGAGATAGCTGGGTCAAATGGTGATTCCATTTCTAGTTTTTTGAGGAATCTCTATACTGCTTTCCAGAATGGTCTTACCAATTTGCAGTCCCGCCAGCAATGAATGAGTGTACCTTTTCCCCCACGTCCTTGCCAACACTTATCTACTTTAAACTTCTTTGAGTTCAACATTTTTTAGATTCTAGACAGGAGCAAGATGCTGCAGTATTTTCTTTCTTTGCCAGGGTTTTTTCATCCATGTTGTTGTAAATGGACAGAATTTCTTTCTTTTTAGAGATTAAGGAGTAGTCCCTTATGTATATAGTCCACATTTTCTTCATCTGTTCATCCATGAGTAGATACTAAGGTTGTTTAACATGTTATTATCTTTGAATGACAGATCTGCTCCTTTTTACCAGCAGCCATCCCCATTGCTAATATGTCTAATAAATGTTCAAACATCCTTCAAAATAGCTCTATTAATGCTTTCATATAAAAACCTCCCTGATATGATTCCCCAAGTATCGATCTCCTCTACCTGTGCACTTTTTCTGTAATTTCAATTATCATTGGAAGTATTATAACCTTAGGTTTACATTTATTTTCTATAAAATTATGAACTACCCAAGACTATATTTTCATCAGGACAGAAAAGATCAATAAATATTTATCTCCTTGCCATCATCTAGCACAGTCCTTAACACACTGCAGAGAATCAGCAAATACCGGTAGAATTTAGTGTAACTAAGTCAACGTTTGAAATTAAGTGATTTGACTGAATTGTGGTTGTCAGAATCAGGTGTTTGTTCTTATTGGCTGTAAGAACTGCATAGATTTTAGAAAACACCAACAGACGCTTATAACTAACTGGTACAGTGAATTTCAAACAGATGGTCAGCAATAATGCCAAGTCCTCTCTCATTTTGATTCCTTTGATAATTATATGATGAGCCTTGATGTGGGGTTTTTTTGATAGCTAAATAATCATAATTTACTACCTCCCTTTTTTCAAGAATAAACACAAATCAGTGAATATGATGGTTTAGCTGGTTTACATGGGCAGGGTTGTTTTTTTTTTTAATTGGATAAGTCATTCTCTTGGAGTTCTTGTTAACTCTCTTGTAACTCTTCTAAGTTCTGAATTATTTTTAGGAAGCTGAATACTAAACTTGTTAAAATGCAATTTACTTCATTTTCTCCTAGACACCATTTGATGCAGAAAGATTTTGTCTCCTGTAGTCTGGTCTATAGAAATTGGATATCATTTTATACCTATCACTGAAATGACTCTTGGTCTTTTACATGATAATACTTTGATTAAATTGATTACAGAAATTAAAAAATTCTCCACATAAACAACACAGAGTAATGATTCTCTACCTTGTCTGCACCCAGTGACTTGGGAAGTGTTTAAAACTACAGTACCCAGACTGCACCCAACACTGAGCCAGAATCCTGGAAGGTAGATCAGAAATCCGATTTCCTGTATTAGCAATAGACACAAACAAGTTTCACTGTTTTTAGCATTTTTATACTGTTCCATTTATGTTTTACAAAATTTGAATTTCTGCTGTTAATACCAAGTACCAGATGTTTAATGAATTTCTATCTTTGAAGGAATTCTTCCATAATGATAGTTAAGGCTCTAACTATTGATAAGTCTCCAAAAATCTGAGTGGCCGAGGTTCCTGACAATACTGGGTACTCTCAGGTTCTTCTAAAGTAGGGCAATAGATGGGCCTTTTGATAATGTAAAAAGAGAGTCAATATTCCATTTTATTATTGAATAATGTTAGCTTTATTATCATAATTGAATACAGTGTGACATAAAATTAAGAGCTTCTGCTAAACTCTGTAAAGCAATGCATGCATCTGCCATAAACAACCTTGACTCGTATTAGGTTTTATTGCCACTTCACTGCACTGAGGTGCAATAAACATTCAGTGTCATCTTTAAAAAAGATTTCCTGGGAGTAAACAGGAACTGTCCTCTATAAGAGTGTATCTTTATTTTCAAGGAAGACTTAACTAGTATTACATGGTTTAGCAAAGCACGGTAGAAAAGCTACATAGAATAATTTGTCTCTGATAACTGTGCAATCCATTTATACAATAGAATATTACCCACATATACTAACAAACTAAGAAATGATAGGAATGCAATCATTGCATAGCAGAAAGCAGACTAATAAGAAATATTCACATCTAGTGAGCAAAATACAGACCAAAATTTAACCATGAGGAGTCTGGAAGGTAAAATGCTCTCAATAAACACATTAGGTTAATGTCCAAAAATAACAAGATAAACAGCACAGAAGTTAGAGCCATAATTTATCTTTATTTTCTATACATAATATCTACACGTGATACCAGAGGATGAAAGGTCCTTGGTTTAGCCTTTATTGGCCTAGCTCATGAAATTTAGGCAGGACCAAATTAAACAATGAAGCACATTTAAAATGAAAACCAGAGTTTGTTTAGGAAAACACAGTATATTTTCCTACATCATTGGATAGCAGCTTTTTGAGAAAAAACATTGCTCAAAACTCAGATATGGATCCCAACTGTCTTATTTGGCAATTATGCTAAAAGCTTTACATTGTATTATTATAAATGTGTTTAGACCATGACCTGTGGATTCTGAACACTAAATTTATATATCTGTGAAACTCTATCAGACAAAGGAGACTTCAAAAATACCTTCTGCATAAATATTTATCTCTAAAACATCTGGGCAGTAATGAAACAGACTAGAATTTTTATAGGGAGTATTAATGGACCTCTTTTATTTAAAGCCCTTACATAGTATGCCTACAAATATATTGCTACAGTATAAATGAAATGTAATAATATTACTCAATAAAAGCTATTTCCTGTACATTCTTTCATGTATTTTATATTGAATGCTACATATGGTACAGCACTTATTGAAATAGTTGGTATCAGCAAATATAGCAAGAATATACAGTTGATTTTCTAATTCCAACTAATGCTTCCCATTTTTTTTTTTATTTTACAATAGCCTAAAATAGGAAAATATGGTATGGCAGGATTTGAGCAGATAGCAACTGATCTACCATTGAACACTGGACAACAGTTTGGAATTATCAGCTTTGTCTACATAAGTGGACTTCATACCCATATGTTTGAAGTACCATCTGCTTCCATCAGGCTGTTCTGTTCTTAAATGCAGGCTCTGAATGTATTTCCATAGCATTTAACAACATTTTAACAGCTAAGAGTGGTGATTCCTACATGATATTTTAGGAACATAACTTTAAAAAAAGTAAAAAATGTACAATCTCATGCTGAATATTTACAGATATGATTTATATATTCTATTTTTTTGTTTCTAGTCATAAATTTCAATCTAAAGCTTTTAATGTAGTTATATAAAAGAATACATTCAACAATTCTAGAGCTTGCAAAATATTTTTGCCCCTCTAAAAACATCTCCATAATAAGAATCTAGTGATTGTTGGATGAATGTATTATCTGAAAATAGGGTGCAAAATAAAAATTAATTATCATTAATTAATTTTTAGTTTCCATTGAGAGAACATCTGTTAAAAGGATGCTTCATAGAGTCTAGTGGTAAAAGCTAAGATGGTAGCAAAGGAGCCTATTTAAAGCATTTCTCTCCACTGGATTAAATGTGCTCTACAATGAGCAATTGCACCTTTGCCTATGAAATTTCCATAAATTTTAAAATAGCATTTTAACAGCAAAATAATGCATTAGAGATTTTTTAAAAGGAGAAAGAACGGGCTTTTTTTTTCTTTTTTTTTTTTTAGCTTTGGAAACACAAATGTTAAAGCTTATACATCAGCTTAAAATACAAAACAAAAACATAAGCACACCATAATTTGTGCAATAAATACATAGATTTTTAAATTTTTTCTTCATTAAACATTTATATTTTATTCTTTTAAACACCTTCACACAAAAATATTTTTGACATATACAGTAGTTTTTTTTAATAATATTTGGAAATATATATCTACAAATGATCTAGGGATTGTAGGTAAGCTCTATTTTTCTTCAACTTTTCCTCCTATCATGGGACCTTCTTCCCCTTCCTTTCCTCTCACGTCTGTCTCCTTCTGATATGGTTTTGCTCTCCTGCGTCTTCTCTCAGAATCCTGTCTCCAAGCTGCATATTCTGCTCTGCTCTGGACTGCCACACAGGGGTCTCTTGTTCTTATGTGAATTATGGAAATAAGGAAACCTTCAAATTCTTTTAAGACAGAGGCAATAAAGCAGATGGGAATCGCTGCATTAAGAACAGAAAGCCATTCCCAGTTCAGGGGACTGAACGACAGAACACAACTATGAGAACCTATTGATGTGGTGTGGGGGCTTTTAGCTGAGGCTCTCTGTTGAGATATGTAGCCCAATAGACTAAGTTAAAGATTCCAAATAGCAGCGGGAAGGCTATTCTTGACAGGCGGTCAATTTTGCTGACACTGTTAAAGGTTTTCTTGGGCTCTGGTGGTTTCGTTTCCGGCTTGACTTCTTTGGGTTCTATGGTTGCACTTTTAGCAATGGTGGCTAAGCCGGGGTCACCCCTGGCCAAGTTAGGGGTGTAGCTTGTTGCTGTTGGAGCATAAGTGTTGTTTTTCTTAATGAGAGGATCTTTCACCTTCTTTGGCTGTAGAAAGGAAGAATTTGGTTTAGTAAACCATGAGAAGCAGAAGTGTCAGCTGTTCAGCAAAGTGGACCTTCATTGGGGACCCAAAGCTGAGTTTTATTCAAAATTTTAGGAATATAACGGATGACGGTCTTTTGGGATAAATTAAAATCGTAGATAATATTTTACACCCTCTTTTATCAAGAGGTGGAATCTATTTCATTGTTCATTGAATACACAACAGACTAGTGACTCTTGACTATTGATTCCTATGCACCCTGAGGATCCTAAACTCAAAAGGCTTGTCAGTGTCAGCCTTGAGTTTCTGGAAATTGCCACTGCCAAGTGAAGAACCCCAGAGAAGATGGCTGAATGACCAGAGCCCATGTGCAGTGACAGGTCCAGCTGATAAGCAGGATCAGGCATCAGCCTCTAAGAGAGAACTTCATAGATCTTCTAGCCTGAATGGAGTTTCCAGCTGACTGCAATCATGTGAGCAAGTCCAGGTCACACTAAAGAAATACCACAGGGTTGTTTCTAGGATAAAATCTAGCATCGTGAGCAAGTAATTTGCTGTTATTGCTGAACCAATTATTATTTGAATGAAGAAAACTTGATATTCCAAATGAGCAAATAATACAGCAGAGATGAGCTGGGAAGGCAACTCAGTTTCAGACTACTTGCCCAGCATGCGTGAGACTTTGGGTTCCATCTCCATAAATGTAAATTAATAGATAAATGGATAAATAAAAAAATAAAGCAAGCAGGGTCATTTAGGGTATCTTGAATTCAATGCCTGTTCAATTATCTCTGCTCAAAAGTGTCATCTGTGCAATGATTGACATCTAGAGCACTTCCCCGTTTTCTTTCATAGAGACAGTCCTAAAAAGTGATCATGGTTTAGAACTATGCAATCCAACACAGTTACCACTTAACCATGTGTGCTACTTGAAATGTAACTAGTCTGACTTGAGACGTACCATAAATACAAAATATACAAAGGATTTTGAAGACAGCATGAACACAATACAATGAAATAGATTTCCTTAATAATGTTTCATATGGATTACATGTTATAAAGATATGTATTATATTTACATATATAATAATATAATATAATAATACATATATGTATTATATTTAGTGAAGTATATTATTAAATTAAATAATAAAGTTCCCTTGTTTGTTTATACTCTTAAATTGACACTATTAGAAAATCTTAAATCACATATGTGGCTTACATTTTTTGGCTTACACTATATTTCTGTAGGACAATACAATTCTGAGAGTGTGTTTTCTATTCTTTGGTTTGCACTGAACTATGCAAACATTTATAAAGAGAAAATATGCCTGTCTTTGACTTCATTGAAAACTGGGGGATAGTTCATATTGCAAACTCAATTAAATTAAATCATTACAGCAAAGAATTTATGATCAAAGTGATCAGGCTTGGAAAACAACCAAAAGACAATGATTTTCACATTATAAAATTTATAGTAGACTTGATGCAGAAGGTATTTAGGTAAGTTCATTTGCTTCTAATGTCAGACTGGTTAAAACTGTTCTCAAATCTCAGAGATCATAGATGAGCACATTCAAGCAGAAATGTTTACCTTCCTATCTCTCTTACCTCTCCTTCACTCTACCTACACTCCTACTCACCCAAACAACCTCTCCTTTAAACATTAAAATTACCTCTTCACTTTGTCTTTAACACGCACAACAAAAAAAGAAAAGAATCCTCACTACCCGCGTCTGCATGCTTCATCAAATTCTCTGGGCCCAAGTATTCTAACCTAAAGGTTGAAAAAGGCACAACAGTGAACTAGTAAAGTCTTTACCTTCTCTGGAACCACACTTTTGCCATCCCATGCATAACCTCTCTTGGTGAAATAGTTTACTGTGGCAAACTCAATCAGAGCCGAGAACACAAAGGCATAGCACACGGCAATGAACCAATCCATAGCTGTTGCGTAAGCCACCTTAGGGAGGGAATTCCTGGCGCTGATACTCAAAGTTGTCATGGTCAGCACAGTTGTTACTCCTATAAGAAAAGAAATTAAGTGTGTGGGTTCATACTACAAAATTTCATGCCCGGAAATCAATCTACTTGTGCAAAGGGAATCAATAGTATCAAGTACCAAACATGGATTTTCTTTCATCCTAGTTTGGTTTGGAATGAGGGAATACTAATTTAACCCCATTGTAGGGGGTGGTTTATGGTATAGCAGTGCTAAGGGGGACAGTCTGTCAGGGAGCTTATTAACAGGATCATGAAGTACTCTAAATGGACACCTTATACAGTTTCTTAGGTAGCATAGGAAATAACATTTTTCACTGTACCCAACACTTGAAATATAAATGATAGATCTTCAATGCCTTGGATTCATTAAAAAAAAAAATGAGTTCTTCAGTTTTGTTTAATATTCTGTGTCCCAAGTGTGGAAACTGGAAAGCCAATGACATCTTGGTAATTGATAGATAATTAAATAATTTTAGATAAAGATTTGCCACATTAATAAATCTTCTCTTACAATGTTTTGTTCTGATTCTAAAATTGACTCATTTGAAGAAAGTCTTGGAACCAATGTATGCATATATAGCAAGTTACATAAGTTTATATGTATAAAATCTTATACATATATAATGTTCCCTTTATTCACAGAATATTCATTTTGTTCCTCTCTTATGGTCAGACAGCTAAAATTTTGAATGTGTTTTATCTGATTCAAATATCTAAGACTTTTTTTCTCTCCTTTTTGCTAATGCTGCTTAATCTTTCCTACTCTGCAACTTTAAAACACGTGATTAAAATGACCCATGTTTAAGGTCAAAGCATTTTCAAGCCAGATCTTTTCAGTCTATTTAGATAGTCAGATGCACTGGCATGTGAAAGATGATATCCTTTAATGTTCATTCAACAAATCAATGCTGTTAATGTCAGACTACTATATGTAATGCACCATATTAGATATAAGGTACTAAGTACAATACTATAATGTCCCTTTCAAGGCATTTGAAAATGCTTAAAAACAATTCAAAATAACCTAGTCATAAGGGATCGTAATCCATGTCATTGGAAATGGCCAGACTTTTTCTAATGACTAGCCCCAACCTTAGTACTTAGTAGGTTTGTAGACAGTAGATTTGTAGACACTGAGAGGGACCCCAGTCTCCACATGTGCAAAATGGATGATTTGTTCTTCATTCTCTTTATTGTCTACACCACCACTGAATTTCTCCAAGGGAAATTTCTGTCCAGTCACTCACGAGAATTTTAGATTTTTGTGAGAATTAAATGCAATATTCAAAATAATTTTAAGTATTTTCTATTACTCATTGCTGTGGAAAGTATTGTCATCCATGTGTCTAAAACATAAATTTGTGATTCCTTCTTTTGATTCATTATACGGGGTAAAAATGGGAGTTCATAATCTGCTTGAATAAAATGTATGAAATATGATATGTCAAGAGCTTTGTAATGTTTTGAACAACTAATAAAAAATTTAAAAAAAAAAGAAATAACTGGACGATCCAAAAAAAAAAGAAAATTAGTAGGATCATAGAGCTTCTAGGTGGCTAATGTTTTAGGTTGCTTTAAGTTGATCAGTATTCTTTGGTTTTTCTTGGATTTCAAGGTGGATTCCACTACATTAGGACGTTAAATTATTAAGAAAAAACAATGAGATTTTTATTAAATTTTATTTTAGACACATGGTTAGGGTTGTAAGAAATAGATCCTTTTTTAGCTCTGGAGGGATTTCAGAAAAACTGGGGGAAATATCAATTTTATGTAATTGACAAACAGTTTAAGAAATATTGGCTGGGGACCTGCCCCCAAATTTACATATTGATATTAACTAGAGCAAATAACAAGGTAATTAAAAGTCAGTATATTTGGGGAACACAACAATCCAGTTTCTAAGGTCAATTCTATAATTGCTGAATGACCTTGGGAAAAGTGTCTAACAATCTTGAGCTTCTGAGGTTTTTTTTTTTTTTTTTTTTCTTTGCTAATTGATTTTATTAAGTCTAATGCAGAGGTTTAGTGTGGTGTGGATAAAAAATAAGCTAATGTAATAAAGTGTTCAGTAATTAGTCTGATACTTACTAAGGGAAAAACTAATGTTTATTTTTTAATAAATCTCAAGTAAAGTTATTTTTTTAATTTTGTTTTATGTCGGCTGTGTTCAGAACTAATTTGACAATGGGTATTTCACCAAATGTATCCATAAATCAAGATCATTCATGAACAGCATCAAGAGAGGGATGGGTATGTTTGTGGTATTGCAATTCCTGTTGTAGAGAAAAAGAAAGGAACAAAAATGTACTTTACAGCTTTTATATTCCAAGAATTAGAAGCCTGATAATTTATATAGTTTGTTTTTCTCATTTAATTATTTATTTTAATTTTATTACTGTTGCTACTTTTTATGAGAAGGGCTCTTGCTCTGCTGCCCAGGTTGACCTCAAATCCCTGCATTCAAGTGTTCTGGCTGCCTCAGCCTTCAAAGCGCTGGAACCACAGGTGTTTGCCTGGCATCATTTAAATCTTTAAGTAACACTACTTTACTTTCTTGTCTTTTCCCTTCAGAGACTGTGAAAGCTCAGAACAATGAAGCAATTTGGTCAACATCATATTGCTGGTAGGTGGTGAGATTGAACCTATAACTTGGATCTTTTGGGCAGAAAATTTATATGACAACATTGCCTCCAATTAAAAGTGAGCACATGAAGCCAAAAGTATGATCTTTTATGACATAAAATAGACTTCAACTTTGTTGAATTCTGGATTCCTTTTAATAAACTGCTAAAAAAACATACAACATTTTTTAGTTTTTTTTTTTTTTTTTTTTCCTTTTAGTATTTCTTGAAAAACCATTGATTCACTCCGGGATCTACAGAAATCAGAACAACATACTGAGTTCAGATTAAAATGAATAGAAAAAAAAAAAAAGAATAGAGGGGCTGGGGTTGTGGATTAGAGGTACAGTGCTTGCGTAGCACGTTCAAGGTTCTGGGTTCAATCCTCAGCATCACATAAAAATAAATAAAAAAAAATAAGGGTCTTGTGTCCAACTACAATGAAAGAAAGAAAGAAAGAAAGAAAGAAAGAAAGAAAGAAAGAAAGAGAGAGAAAGGAAGGAAGGAAGGAAAGAAACACTCAAATGGTCTAGAAATATGTGATTTCATTGAACTTAAACATTAGAAACTTATAACTTGATACACAGAAATACTTGTCACTGCTGAGTTTATAGATATGTACTTATGTTCACCAAAAGGGCACCAGTCAATTGAAATGTAAGATTGTTGAAAATGTTATGAACAATGTTGATGACTTATAGACATTCTGAAATGCTTTGGAGAATTTCCAAATAGAAGGGGCAGTATTTGTTGCAGTGAGAGTGTGAAAGGCCAGCATTTAAAAAAAGAAAGAGAAAGAAAAAAAAAAAAAAAATATATATATATAAATATATATTCACTATATTGCTGGGCTATTTCTTCAAAAATAGAATAAAGCAAAGCACATAAAATAAATAAGTTGTGTGATCCAATTTGTTTTTTATTTCCTGGTGAATAAAAGACTCAAATGGCATATACCAATAGAGGCAAACATCTTCCCAAGAGGTCAATCTTCAGTAGCTTCAATCATTGACAATATTGACAAATTGTTATAAAGAAAAATTAATCTGAAACGATCTGTTCTTTGTCTCTGCTGCTAGAAATCATTCTGCATCTTAATTTAGCTGTGGGCTTAGGCTACCATCGGAGCACCAGAGCATGGATTTGGTGGTTTCCCACCTGGAAGCATTCCAAATTAAGAAGAAAGTCTCTTTTTTGTCCCATGTGGCAGAATTGCTTTTTTTCTCGGGTAACTGACTTTTTGCTCCTTATACGTTATGGAGGTTGATACAGGAATCTATGCACATGGATAATCCTCTCTTTAGATCATAAACTTCTGAAGTCTATTTATTTTGTAGCACTGGGTTTTAAACACAGCAGGTACCTAGATGGCATTTATGGAGTGAGCCTGGATATCTGTATCATTCCGTAGTGAGTATGTGCTTGTTATTTCTAAATGAACGATGCTGACCTCACAACCTTGCCATTACAGCAAGATATCACACAGGTTACAATATTGCATCATCATTAAGGGCCTAGGACCCAGAGCCAAGGGCCCACGCCTGACTTCTCACTCCTTCACCTAATAGTTTCTGACTTTGGATAGGTCACTTAATCTTGTGTTCTTGTTTCTCGTGTTTGTATAATAGTGATCTTGGTGGTATACAGTATGCTTTTAGGGTTCAATAAGATAACAGGCTAATTGTCAGGGACTACCCTTTTTATGAAATGCAAGCTCTAAAATGCTACATTAGATCAGTTTTTCCCCTAGAAAAAAGAAAATAATATAATAATTCTTCTCTAGATTGCCCTTAACTGGGAATATTGAATCTAATAAAGGTTTCCAATTTAAAAAATTAAATTTATAACTCTTCAGGCATGCACACATTAGGTAAAGGTCATTAGTGACATGGTCATCAGTGAGTTCTCCCGACTTAAGGCAATCCTGTTTTTATATACATAAGGAAGAAGTTTTGTTCATGTTTCCTAAGATTCCCCCAAAACAGCACGGATACAGGCTATGCATTCTAAATACTGTTTTCTGTGTACATGTGTTTCATCGAGTATGATGTGTTTTCTGCATGCTATGTGAAACTATCAAATCAAATGTTCATGAATCCCATCCATTCACAAGCACTAAAACAGTTTACTATTTAACAATGTTATTTTTTAACCACACTACCTTAGGGATGGCATTTCCGTGAACCTTTCCATTGTATAACTTTAGATTTGAACACATATCAATCTTTTTTTTTCCTTGCAAGGTCACAGACATGGCATAACTTGCCCTCCAAACCTTGGCATGCATGTCTTGACTGACACTTACCAAAGACAGTTCTTGCTGGTACAGACTCTCGGTTGAGCCAGAAGGAGACTTGTGACAGAATGACCGTCATTATGCATGGCAGGTATGTTTGAATAACAAAATAACCAATCTTTCTCTTCAAGTGGAAGTGAGTAGTCATAACAACATATTCTCCTGGAGGGTAAAACAGACAGTGAGGTTGAGCAATTTGACCTTGAAAAGAACCTATTCTGAGGTTTCCTATTAGCAGCAAAGACCTGGAGCTCAGACACATCCTTTCTCCATGTGACATTCAGTCCCTGGAGAGAAAAGCTTCCAAGAGAGAAAAGAGTCATTTTAAACACACACAAAAATGGCTCTGTGGATGAGATGGAGGCTCCAGAGTTCTCATGGGTATCCTTACCTACTAATGCTTCTGTGTCATATATTTAAGGGACAAACTCTGGGCATATATTCACAGATTGGCTTTCCTGATCACGAAGGCAATGCGCTAGGTTCTGTGACCTGCATTAGGGTATTTTAAACAGAACAGATATCCAGGGTGACCTTTGCAAAACAGACTCAGGCTGCTCCTTAGCTGCTCTGGTGGGCAGATCAGTACAGCTGAATTCTACCTCCAACACTTCTTTGGATCTTAGGTGAATGATTTAGTCCGCCTGATCAGCAAAATGAGGAGCAGGGTAGAATTTCATAGTTTTTCATAATCTACATGCTGGAATCACCTGGGAAGCTTTAGAAAAATTCAGTTGTTCCAGTCCTACTACATTTACAAACCACTCTTTGAATTCTCAGGGAAATCTGGGCTTATAATCTGTTTTTCCCCCCAGTTCTGGGGATCCACTTGCTGGGCAGGTGCTCTCCCACTACCACTGAGCTACACCCCAGCCCTATACCAGCTTTTGAGCTTGGCATGCTTCCTAAGCTGAACTGGGAGATGGTAGCCTAGGTAGGTATATTCCACGGTCTTTCTATCCTCCAAATCCTGGCTTCATTTAGAGGACCTAAGCAGTAGACACAACCTAAATTGCAAGAGCCTTTTATTTTCCTTCATGTGGTATATTTTCAATTACAAATCTTGGAAGTGTTTTAGCCTGATTCACCCAGAAGATATGCTTAGCTCTCTGTGGGTGGGCAGGAGAGAAATAGATGTGTTCTGGATAAGAAAGCATCACTCTATTTAGAACACGTCCCCACCTTTCTCCTTCTTTCCCCTCCAAACTTCTCCCTTCTTGAGTTAGCATCTTTATCTCAGTTCATGGGCATCTGATCTCAGCCCCTATAATGGGAGGGCAGCTGCTCAGAAAATTTAATCTACAAGACTAAAGCCTCTTCCTCATCTTCCAGCTGCTGACTTCCTTCATCACAGCTGAAATTAGTGATGTCCCTATTGTCACTATAGTATACTCTTGATTCCTGCTTTCCTTTTATCTCTCGTTCTCAATTTCTTTTGCTAACTCATTGATAGTTTCAACCAGAAATTTCTTATTGAGTTGTTCATATTTATCAGATGTTGGTTTTCTTATCTCTTTAAAGCAAATGTGGGGGTTCCTGAGTTTCTTTGACTCTGATAATGTATTTTCCATCTCACCCCTGCTCCTACTGCTACCTGTATGTAGGTGTACAGATGGCTGACAAATCTACATCCTGGTGAACAGGCTCTCAAAGTAAAGAGGTATATCCCCAAATCTAAACAGGACTAGTCTCGAATTTTTTGTACTCCCAAGTCAAGGCTAGACAGTAGCTGTCTCACAGATATTGACTTCTCATTGGCACCATCAACTATGTTTAAAATTCATATTAGCTAACTTTTCCCCAAAACAATGGACAGCACATCTCTGTCTATTGCCTCAGGCTGAAAACCAGGAGTCAATCTTAAATAACAGAATGTGCTTTGGAAAGAGAGGAAGAAAGGAATCTGTTGGTCACACAATTTCAGTGTTACCTGTGTGGTATCTTGTAATCTGACCCTGGATATGTCATTGTCACTGCCCTTATTAGCTTTGTAAATTTATTATAATAGTCTATTAATTATCATATGTGCCTCCAGTTGCATATTTACTATAAGTTTCCCTAAACTTTCCTGTAAAGTAATTATTTATATGTGATCACGTAATCTCATTTTTCCCATCAAAAATATCTTGATGTATTCTCATTGTGATGGTTGATCCTAGTTGTCATCTCTAGTGGACTGAGAGACATCTAGAAAGTTGGCAAAGTACACGTCTGAATGTGTCATTGAGGATGTTTCCAGACACCATTGGAATATGAGTCAGCAAACTGAGCAGAGAACCTGTCTTGAATGTAGGTGGCACCATCCAATAGGCTGGGCCCTGGATGGAACAGCAGGTATGCATAGTAACTCTCCTGCAGCGGTCCACTTTTGCTGCTGCTATTACTCCCCCAATATCAGACTCTACCTTCTTCATACTTCAGATATGGACTTACCCCAGTACCTGAATTATTGGTCTGACCTATACTGAGGCTTCCAGTTTTTTGGACTGGAGCAGCTTTGCTCCATCATAGGCTCCCTGCCATGATGTTCTACGTCACCACAAGCCCAAAGGCAATGGAGCCAGCTGACTATGGACTGAAACTATGGGCCAATATCTTTCTTACTTTTAAATTCTTTATCTCAAATATTTTATCAGAGTAATTGAAGACTGACTAACATGCCCAGTATTCACATCAAGGATTCCTGACCTCAGCACTCTTGGAATTTTATACTAGATAACTGTTGTAGGAGACTTGTGCTTTATATATTGCACAATGTTTAGCCACATATCTGTCTTCTCCTCACTGGTTGCCAGTAGCAAAGGATGATTTTTCCCTTTCCCTATCTATGTTATTTTCACACTAAGGAACAAATGCCCTAACCCAAATTCAAACCTCTCCACTGCATACCTCTAACACATATTACAGGGATTTGTCTCAACACACATTTTCACATTTCAGTATCTTGCTCTACAAGACTCTACTACACATCTTCTGTGATGGAATATTTGTTCATCTGTGGTTGGGGCCAAACACAAACACCAGGTCGTGAGTGAAAATAGGAAGACTTGTTCTGACAGAAAAGTATATTAGCTTGGAAGGCTATGGATTTGAGTTTAAAATCCAGATCTGCTATTTTCTTGCTATACAGCCTTGGGAAACTCATGCAAGCCTCTATTTTCTGATCTACAAAATAGTGGAAACTGTGATAGAGCAGAATGAAAACTAAGAGATCTCATTAGGATGACACCACAAAGCATGCTAAAATAAGTTTCAGATCCTTTCTTCATTTTCTTCACCCCACTCTCAATCAGAATTGAAGGAACTATCAATCAGAATCAGTGGAGCCACTGGCAGAAGAGATGCATTCATTGTTTACAGATAGATGCAAGTCACCAGTGCATTTACTTATTTATTTCATCACTGTTATTAATGGTCAGACTGGCCATTAACCAAGCACTTCTTAAGTGCTTTATTTGTAGCTCTTGTTTATATTTATAATAAGATCTCAGACTTTGTATTTTAGTTATTTATATGTATATTCCTCCCACCAAACTGAAAGCTAATTGTGCACAGGGCTCCTCCTTGGGATACACCATGACCTCCCAGATTGTCAGTATCTGGTTCCTATCAGTGGTGAAAAGGTACCTTAAGGGCTCTCCATCCCTACACAGTCTATGAGTGTCTCTGTCTTGAAAGGAAAACAAAGCATTAACTAATAATTGCCTTTTATATTTTTTCTTATGTACTTCCAGTGATGTCGGTAAGGTCATTTGAAGGACAAGTAAGTGATCTAAGTTTGAGAAAAAAAAATGCAGAGAACCAATTTCCCCAGAGTTTTCCTCTAACATGTAGTCTTGGGTGGACAAATCCATGTTATAATTCACCATCTCAGGGTACACATTATTATTCCTAACCATTCGTTCATTTGTGGCCTGTAAAATGTCATCAGCTCAAAGAAAAAAAAATTCCACCTTCCCTATAATGTCAGTAAGAAGAGTGTCTACATCTACTCCATTATCTTTTGTTATTGGAATCTGGCATTTTTGTGAAGACTGTGAAAAGAATATGATTTTTTGAGATCTAAAGAGCCATTATTTGACATCATATTTATTTTATAAACAACCTTCATTCCCTAACAGATTGGAGAAAGAATAGAAGGGCTTTCAGTATTTTGAATCCTTCTTTCTAAACTAAATGAAAACTAAGAAGTTTATTTATTGGCACAAAACTTTTAGATAAGGGAAGGAAAGGACAGCAACATCAGAATCAAGTTGTAATCATTTAAATATGAAAGGAAAACAAGACAACAACAGAAAGCCCCACTCTCCTATATTAGATTGAAAGAGTCTAGACAATAAGGGCTTATGCGCTAAGCATGTCAATTTCTTTTCCTCTAATTCAACGGTCTAGAAGAATTGCAATTCAAATATCTTTGCACAACATCTATCCCTGAGGGAAGCTTGTAAATTAGATGTGACAATGTTTCTGATATATTACAATATAAAATTAAGGAAAATGGAAGAAAAATAATGGGATATAATTTTGCAAAATGCTATTAAGGGCTTGTGTAGACCTGACTTCTAATCTTTGCTTCTTCCAATGTTAGTTACTAAAAGATAACTACCTTGCTTAGCATTATTTGGCTTCAGTTTCTTGACATGTCCAATTCATGAGATAGTAGTTAGCTATCCTGCCATGCTTTAAGGCTAAAAACAAATAATAGATGTAGAAAAAAAATAAAAATCCTAAGTCCTACACAATTTAACAATGTGAAGATGGAAAACGCAGCTGTATATGTTCTCTCCAGCTTGGGAAATCAAATGTCCAGATAGTGAATAAAATTTTATTAAGCACTGATTCCTTCTACAGTTATCATGTGCCTTCTAAGTTTTTAAAATTCAGTCTTTACTATAAACACGATTCTTTAAAAAGAAATGATGTATCATAATATTATGGACGGGTGGCTGGGGGTATTTTAATAACTGCTTCAAAGGGTACTGAAATAGAAATAAGGAGAAAGAGAAATAAGGAGATAAGTCTACAATGCTGGGTCACTTCACCTTTCTGAACCATTTTTCACGCTTGAATTCTAAAGTGACTGACAAGGTAACCAAGTCTTTTTTTCCTCTAAATCTCTGTAAATTTATAATTATTTCCCTGGAGATCATGTATGAAGCTTTATAAATGGTAGCCCTTGAGGTCCCTGTGGTGAGTGCTGACCACCACTGTCACTTCATGATCAAAGACAGTTGCAGTCCTCATTGTTTTGACATTGCAAGGTCATACTTAAATCAACTTATTCAGAGGAGCCTCTGTAGCTCAGAAAAAGGGCCCCACAATTTTTCTTAGCCATTTTATTCTGAAGATAAATAAATGATCATCATTCAGGAGAAACAACTTATTGCCAAACAAATTGTGATTTCCTTTAAACAAATTTACTTTGGTGAATACAGAGAGCTTCCAGTCATCATTATGTGTTTTAAAAACCTTTTATGTCATTGCATTCTCATTGTTTTCTGTACACCAGTATCTTTCTTATGACTAATGGCCAGTCATTTTTTTTTATTTTTATGTGTAAGTTATATCTCATGCCCTTGAATCACTTTTGTCATTTTTGTATGAACTCCCCTTAAAACTTTGCTTAGGAAATGTCATGTGATGAGATGTTAGGAGAAGGGGTCTTGCCTAGAATCTGGGTCCAAACTTTCTTCCCCAATACTTCAAGCAGAAAAGACCTCCTTCTCCATTTCTTCACCACTTCACTTTTGTACTAGCTCTGCCATGAACCACAAATAGTAACATCTGCTATTTTCTGCCTGGTTTTTACACAGCAGACCCTGTTCCTAGCGGTTGACATGCATTTTCTCATTTCAAATTCACAGTAGTTCATGAAGCACATACCAACTATGAGTAAAGATGAATAAAGATACGAGAATATTTGCCAAAAGGAACAATTCATTAGTGCTCAAGCCCACAATGGAGCCCTTGTTACATAATTCCGGAATTCACCTCCCTAACTGTGCTTCCCGTATTACATGCCTGTGTTGCCTTTTACTCTTGTGCTTTGTAATTGAAAAGCACACTCTGTGGCCAGACAGCTCAGATCCAAACCACAGATCCTCCTCCTCCCAGCTGTGTGATCTTGGAAAACTAATTAAACCCTGCTGTGCCTCAAATTCCCATCTACAAAACCAGGATAACAATACTGCAAAACCCCTAGGATTTCATGAGGATCAAAGATGAGAATACTGGCTATAATGTTATATATATATATATATATATATATATATATATATAATGTTACTTATATCTCTCAACCAGGAGCTTCTTGAGGGTAAGGGCTGTGTGTCTTTCATCTCTCCTATCCAGGCTCAATCACAAGTTGGAAGCAATAAAACACACACACACACACACACACACACACACAACCCTGATTGAAGGAATAAGAGGATACATGAATGAGTAATAGAGAACTATATTGGATTTGAAAGCCCATGATAATTTATCCTTTCTATGTTCGTATAATGATTTTGCTCCACCAGGTGAATAAGTATCCTTCAAAGTGAGACACTAATGAATTTTCTTTCCCTAAATTTGATGGCAGACTTCAAGGAAGGGATTGCATCTCTAATGTGTTTGCACTGAAATAAATAAATACATATAGTGTTAGAATTCCCATCATTTCCCCTTTGGTGTCAACAAAAATGATCTGGAGGCATTTTGACCTGGGATTGTGTGCTTCCATGTTCAAATGTGTGCTGGTGGCAGGCGAGCAGGACACCCTCTAACCTTGTCAGAGGTGATCTGAACTGATCATCCCCCAAGGAGAACTCCAAAGAAGACAAAGATGTCCCTTATCTACCCATTCTCATTGGGAGGCTAGCTCTTATCATCATTTTCTAGTTTTCTGGTAAAAAAAAAAAGGGAAGGTGTATTTCACTCAATGCCAGTTATCTTAGTGTTTTCAGGGCTACACGAAGAGATGTGACATAGAGTACTGAAGACCTTACACCGCATCTTTATTTCTTTCCCTTTAAATCTACTAGGGTGGATTACTGATGAGCTGAATTCAATGTCCTAATTGGAGTTGAACACATGCATCAAACTGAGCTTCTATCCTTGAGAATTTGCTCATTATTCTCCCTCTTCCCCAATACTCCTAAGGGAATAACAGGGGAAAGTTCCTGTTTCATACAGGCAAACTAGCTGTCCCATCACAGAGTGACCACTTCTGATAGACCCAATTTTCTTTCTTTTTTTTTTTTTCTTTTTCTTTCTTTTTTTTTTTTCTGAGTAACTGGAATGCAGTTAGCTTGAATCCTTAGGAAATGAACTTGGGATGGATTAGGATTGGCTCAATGGTAGAGAGCTTGCCTAGCATGCACAAGGCCTTCAGTTCAATCCCCAGCATTGAAAAAAAAATTTAAAAAGAATAAAGAAATAAATAATTGTGACGGAGCTTTTGGAATCTAACAAAGCCAACTAATTTTGCACACGTGGTAACTGGGGCCTAAAGTGGGTTGCAGTGACACGCTGAAGGTTGCTAGGGCTAGAAGCAGAGTGGAGGCCTTGCTCCTCTGAGCCAAGGTCCAGGCTTGCACACTGTTGCATACGTACTTGTAAATTTTAATGCTTTTCCTGACATACTCCAACTTCCATTTTAATAATAAAGGTGGCCTTTTTGTACCACAAAATGTCTGCATCTATTATTCGAAATGCCCTTGGCTTAGAACTGTGATTATTTGTCTCTCACCAGATGTAGACTAGCAAAATGAAAAGCCAACTTCTGAAGCAATCCTTCCTTAAATATTCTAATCTATCTTCATTTATCTATTTTTTTATTAATTCAAAATATTTATTCAGTGCCTCCTATGTCTCAGCTATTACAGAAAATAATAGAGGCACAGAGGACAGACATTGTCTCTGGCCTCACAGAAATGTTAATCACAGTGCTTACCATCCATTTGGATAATTATGGTGTACGTGTTCATGTGCTCTTAGACTTTGGATTCCATGAGAGCAAGACCTGTGCCTTGTCTGTCATTGACTCTCTAGCGCCTGTAGTAATATCCAGGTTATAAGAGTGTTAGATGTTTAAGAAGTAAACACAGATTTTTTTTTTTAGTATCGTTTTCAATACAGAATGTTTTGAAAAAGAAAAATCTTCAGCACTTTCCATGTTTGGGATATGTTCAGGATTAGAGTTACAGCTACTACATGCCATTTTGATCACCTACCATGTAATATTCTGCAGTATTTCATACTATCTCATCTTTAATGCAAAGCGATGACTTTCCTATTCCTTAGATGAAAATACAGCTTCTGTTTGGATAAACGATGACTTGTCAAAAGTAATAAGACTTCTAAACAATAGGACCAGGACTTGAGTCTCCATCTTATAGCTCAACCCAGGACTTTCTACCACTCCATTTCTAATAAAAGCCAAGCTGAGGAACATTCTTGCCCATATATTTTTAAACAAGCAGCATAAATATGTAAGATTCTCAGATAGCTATGGAAGCTTTTAGAAACAAAAGACAGATCCAATTAGGCAGAACTCACCAACAATCACAGTAAGAGATATCAACCTATTATTTGAAGGTGTTGGAATTATGAGAGTCCCAAGATAAAGTCTGAAATCTAACAAAAACTTCTTTTTCTGATAAAAATTGTATTAAAAAATTGTACAAAATAATCTTTCTTTACTAATCCCAAATCAAAATGAATAGACAAATGTAAATTATATAAGACATTCATAAAAATAATTGTTGGTTCATATTAAATATTTCAGTAATTACACATTTTAAAATATTGAACACTGTGGGTGTAAGTTTTCTTAATTTTTAAATTCCATCTTTTACTTCTAGCTACTCTGGCTTGAAGATCACATTTTCAGATAGTAAAAAATAGTTATTCACATAATTAACCCTTAGTGTTTGAAATGCTTTAAGAACTCAGATATGGCTTTCTAATAGTATCTAAGCTACTTCCAATAACATCATTAGTGAATCACTTACAACACTCCAAAGGAGGGTACCCCACCTACTTTCAGTTCCAACATGGAGGATCCAAAGTACCGTGGCTACAGCTCCATTGACTTTAGCTGTGGAAGATCTTTGGCTAAATCCACAAATAGATTTATAGAATGAATTGTTTTTTTTTTTATTTATTCATTTATTGGTACTGAGGATTAAACTCAAACACTGAGCCACATCCCCAGCCTTATTTTGTATTTCATTTAAAGACAGGGCCTTACTGAGTTGCTTAGCGCCTTGCTATTGCTGAGGCTGGCTTAGAACTTGCTACCCTCCCTTCTGCCTCAGTCTCCCAAGCCACTGGGATTACAGGCATGCGCCACCACACCCCACTCAAATTGGCTTTTTGATGTCCCATGTGTAACCATCATTGTCAAAACTTCACTGAGAATCATTTATTCATGGCAAGAAATGGAGCCTGGATGATATTAATAGCCAATATTTATGGAAAGTTTTTTCCTATGGCAAGTAATTTTCAAGGGTTTAATTTCTTCTTCCAAAAACATGTAGGCTAACTACAACCAGCTTGCAAAAGTGGAGAAATAAGGAATTAACCCAGACATTCATCCCTAAGAGTTCATGTATTTACCTGCTATGCTACACTGATCACCCAGAACCAGCTCCTTATTTTGCAAACACAGCAAGAAGCCAACTATCATCCAATGACAGGTTTTACATCACAGGTCTACAGAGTTTACATCTAATATCAGCTCAGCTCACCCCGAGTTTTGTGTGATCTTCTGGAGAACTCATTGAGTTCTCACATCCCCACAGTATATTTTTATACCCCTTCCTCATACCTGGAGTAAGCAAATGGTGCTTACCTGTGCTGGACTGGACAATTCCAGAGTCTACTGTTTGTCCAAGAAGATCATACTGGTTTAAGCGTGACCCATCTTCTGCTACAACCACGGAGCGTGCTGGCTCTCTGGTCCACTCATAGACAACTTCTGCTCTGGTATAAGCATCTGAAAGAAAGGATGTAAAATTATCCATGCATTTGCCTCTTTGATTTTTCTTGTTAGTTAATGTTTCACCAGCTTCATATCTTCTCTCACAGCTTCAGAGGGAAGGCTAGCACAGAAAAACCCACATTTCTTAGTTTGGGAACACCAAAATACATTTTTCTAATTCTTTCAGTCATTTGATCACTCTTCCAGCAAATTCTTGTTAAGAATCTACAAAGAGCAAAGTACCGTGCTGGGGACAGTAATGAATGAAATGAGCAAGGTTGCCAATCTTAGGGGATGTGCACTTTAGTGGTGGGGACAAAAGCAGATGAGCAAATAAACATAAAATTCCAACCATGTTAAGTGCAATAAAACCATACACAAGGGCTAGTGCTGTAGCTCAGTGACAGAGCACTTGCCTAGCATGTGTGAGGTACTGGGTTCAATCCTTAGCACCACATAATAATAAATAAAATAAAGGAATTCTGTCCATCTACAACTACAAAAATAAAAATTTAAAAAATATACAACTGGATAAAGGGATGGAGAGTGATGTGGGGGGGAGGGGACTATTTTAAGGCAGGTAAAGGACTCAGAGAGTCTCTGAGGAGGTGGCATTTATATTAGTATCTGATAGAAATGGAAAAATGATCCAAGTGAGGTCATGAGGAGGAGATCACCCAATGCAGGCTAATGATATTTTTCTTCTATTGAAGGTAAAAGCTTGACAAATATAATATGACTACAGTGAAGGGCATGAGCGATAAATAAGAGATAAAATAAGATCAGAGTCAGTAGCTTGGTTTCATATTATGTTAAGCTACGGGAAGTTTATGATAAATATGAAAAGTAACATTATAAATTTTGCTATTTGCAAAGGAAGTTTGATATCACTCCCTTTTATCAATTATGCTTCTTATGGATATTTACCATCATTATGAAGAGGATGCAAATGATGATAATGAGTTACATTATAGAGCTTTTCTTCCCAATCGCTTTCACATGCCATGTCACTTTTAACCTAGCCATCTCCTAGGCAAGTGGTTTGGTCATAAATCTTTAATCCACTGCAGGTTGGAGGAAGAGAGTGCATAGGTTAAGAGAAAAATAGGAGAAGAAATTCCACAGCTCTTCTGGAAAAATGAACACAACTTCCACAGAACACAACTTCCTATAGGCTGACATGAGAGTATATAGTCCCCGCTGTTCAGATGCAGGGTGGTGTTAAACATTTAAGGAAAATCCCATGAGAGACAGTAGGCTGTGTCCAGGGAATTTGCTGGGAGAGCATGGTAGCAAAAGTTGGCCTTAATGTATAAACTGGACTCATTGGCCAAGGGCCATCTTCTCCATTAGACACAGTGGGCACAGTTCCCAGGCCCTGAAATAGTTTCAAAAGGCCATAAAATGTTTTAATATTTTTTAGATTAAAGATAATAAAATAAATATAACCTCACCTGGCTTACATTCATCTTTAACTAACATAGTCATAAAATATAATTTTGTATTCACTTGTATACTAATATAATCGTAAAATAAAATTTTAATTTTGTTTTGGAGGAATGGTCCCCAAAGGCAAAGATGCTTAGGGCATTCACACACACACACACACACACACACGCACGCACACACGCACACACACGCGCGCACATACACACACGCGCGCGTGCGCGCACCAAAAAAAAAAATTCATGATTCAGCCCTTCTTGCCCCAACCCTCAACCCTGGGTGACCAGGCCGGTGACTTGCACCCAAACATGGGTGTTCCCAGCCTCAAACATTATGCAATGTAAAATTATGGATGACTTTTGAAAATGAAGTTGCCTTCAGGAGGATGCACACCTTGAGCCTTACTGTCTGAAAGAAAGCTTCTTAAAATGACCATGTTCCTCTGAGTTGACTGACTCAGCAAATGGAGTCAGTGTCCCCTGGTTTCCCATGAGTGTCCTGTCATCATTTCTGGATCAATTTGCAATCATATATCTCTTAAAATAATTTTTTTTCTAGAAGTTTAAGGGAAATTAATTTAGCTGTTCATGAGAAAGACTAGAGTGACAGACGAATATTTTGGAATCTGTCCTTATTTACTTTTCTACTTTTTAATTGTGATTGTGATTGTCCTCACTAATATACATTGGTGTTGTAGACTGTAGGAAGAATGCATGTCTCTTATATTTTAAAGCTCTTAGAAGAGGGCAGAGCACACTAGTTTGAGATGGAACATGTTTCACACAATTTGTAGGAAGCTACATTTAGTAAGATATTTTGCTGGCATCTTGTTCTCTTACCTAAGAAGCCATTCTCAGATGATGGCGGCATGGAGTGATTGAATACTCGACTCAGAAAGACCTTGAAGGCCGTATAATTCCATCACACTACATAGATGGTAAATCGAGGCACAGAACATTAAATGACTTTTGTAAGCATATATCGTATTTATTGAGAAAACTGAACTAACAACTTAGGATGTGATTCATTCTACTCCACTGCTGTTTTAAAGAATTTTTTAGGCAAAAGCTGTATATATATATATATATATATATATATATATATTTAATTAAGTAAGGATAGTTGGTGATCATGCAGTTCTAGATCTAAAGTCACTTCACAAAAAACTAAATCCCTTGCTACTATATGACGCTATTAGCAATAGTGGTTTGTCATGTGTTGTCACTTGGATGCTGATACAGTTGTGGAGAGAAAACTGTCACCCATTGACTTTTCATTTCTTCTTCTTATTATTATTATTATTGTTACTAGGGATTAAACCCAGCAGTGCCTTATTACTGAGCCACCTCCCCAGCCCTCCACCACATTCTTTTCCTTTATTTATTTATTTATTTATTTATTTATTGAGACAGTGTCTCACTAAGTTACTTAGGGTCTTGCTAAGTTGCTGAGGCTGTCCTGGAAACTGTAATCCTCCTGCTTCATCCTCCAAAGTTGCTGGGATTACAGGGGTGCACCACTATGACTGATTTTCCTTTCATATAATTTTTAACAACTCTTTTCCTGAAATTAGAAACCACACTGTGTGTAAAAATACGCATCTACTACCAACATGCCATCAATCTAAAGGTGCAGATAACTCATTATTCACATCTCCCCACAGAAACCTTCCAAACTAAAGAAGAGTAAACTCACATGATGAAAGACAATATTTAAGATAGAGAAGACAAACATACATAAGGCCTAAGAAGAGATGATAGGTCCTCTTTGTTTCCTCAAATTCCAGTATCTGAAAAGATGAAAGCTTACTTGATTTGAAACTTCAGCATTAAAAAAAAGGATTTAAAAGGATTTTCAACTATTTGATCAAAAATTTTAAGCTATGCTATCAAACAAATCATACAACACCCTAAACGTTTTTTTTTTTTTTTTCTTTTTTAAAGGCAGGAAAATTTTGGTTGGGATTATGAAAGAACTTTATGGGGCTCAACACCAGGAACACAGACTTAGTATCAGAAAAGCAACTGATAATGGATACTATTGTTTCATGTTTATGATCTCTGTATTTCCATTAGCATGAAGCAGTTGAGCTGTATAATGTCCAAAGTTAGGCACTTTGGAGAATTCATTTAAATTTCTGTGCATTCTCCTCTCCTTTGTTTGTAAGGCCCTGAGATTGACAGTCAGTTAAGAAACATTCACTTATGAAAGTCTTCTTACTAGATCTAGTACCTGCTTGGATCTTAGTGTCAGAATTCAAAACCTGAATGTCTTCTTTTAGAATCAAGGATTTATTTTGTATCTTCCTCATAAGACAGTTAAGCTGTAACCCATGCACTGTCTCTGGGTTAACTGGCCTTATGAAGAGGTCTTCATCCCCAGCCAGCCAGAAACATTGTTCAGCAACTGACAATTGGAATCTAATGGAATGCAGGAAGGAAAATATCTGGTTTTCCAAGTGTAATGCTTATTAACATAAGGACAAAGTTACTCCAGAAGTGTCATAAACATTCATTGTCTAGAACTCAACTAAATCCCTGGAAACTTGTCTTGCTTATCCTCTTCTCGGACATTTGAGTGAGACATTCACGCCAAATACTGGGTCAAAGAATTTTTTCACTCACTTTTTCCTCCTTTTCTTCACCTTTGAAGTATACTAATGAGCCCAGGGAAGAAATGATCAGACAAAGAACAGACCTCCTGCTGCCTATCATGCCAAGGCCAGGCAATAAAAACCATTCATGGTGGGCTGTCCCACTGAGCAAGACAATCTTAGCCTCTTTCAACATCCATCTCTGTTTTAGTTTAGTTCCCCACAGATCTTACACCCTCTTTTCTGAAGTTCAAACATCGAAGGAGCATTTGAAGTCTGGTTAGTGTAATACTAATACTAGCTTCATTTTATTAACCTCTGCACTAGGAAATGCTGAGTAATATATATAAACTCATGAAGTTTCCAGTCCTCAGACAATAAAAAGTATTAACCAAGAAATAAAATGAATAATTCATGCTGTGATAAATAAACTTGTGTTGGGATCAAGAAGACTGATGAGGTTGTGTGTAAATTCCTATAAAGTCGTCAGGGAAGGCTTGAGGAAATGACATTTATATGGAGATGTGGGAAGATAGAAGAAGCCAGCCATGATAACACCAAGGGAAGAGTAACCCAGGGAGACAGATGGGCATGTGCAAAGGCACTGAGGTGGAGACTGATATGTTTTTCTTTCATATCAGCTCTTCTATGTGATACACTATTTTCTACTCATTATCCATTTCCTTCTTCCTAAAATATTTCCAATATTTTTCAGGAAAATTATTTGCCCAAACAAAAAAATTCTTAATTTTGCAAATAGCACTGGCAATCTGACACACATTTGATTACTGATATGTAAGTAGACGCCTGTTAGGATTTCAGGAAAAGCTTTTATGTTTTTCATGCAAAACTGAATTCTCTCTTAGCTTTCCTGCCTATTCCCCTTATTTTTGAAAGCAGAGTTTCAGCAGCCATCTTTTGATGAGAACGAATATCTGGGGACACTGTAACAACATCAGCTTTGTTAACATGCTGAAATAACCACTAATCAACCAATAATGATTTGCCTCCATAATCATATAGGAATACAAAAATGTTTCTTTTCTTCACCTATCCTTACTGTTGAAAAAAAATCTTACTAATGTAAAAAAATTGCAATTAATTGCCCCAGTAAGGACACTCTAAAGATAAATAGGGGCATAGTTAGCAATTTTACTATATCAGTATATCTATGATATATTAGGGGTATATCAGTACAGCCTCAGGAAAATTACCATTGGTAGTCTTTCTAAGTATAATAATATGTTGTAGATTAGTGAGTTTATAGATGCACAGACATTTAATATGCTTCCTGGCAGACAGGTAACCCATAATATATATTATCATTGTTAAAAATGGAACTGGTATTCAGGATAACACATACTAGTCCATGATGTAAAATTTATGTTAAATTGAGGAAAGTGTGGGAAGAAAGAACTTATCACCAATGGCCTGATTAGCTGACAGTTGTTGAGGTACATCATCCTTAATTTTCTCTATAGAAGGAGCTTCAGAAATAGAGAACATTGTCCCTCCATGACCAGTGCTAGTAGGATCATGAGGGCCCCTTTGTGTGCTGGGTTCCTACACTACCACTATTTTTCTTCATGAATCATATCTTCACCAAAGTAATTGCTCAGATGCCTGTCTAGTGAGAACACAGAGCTGGTTCAGTGTCCCAGGAGTGGACTCAGTACTTGTATGCAACACCTGTGCAGGAAATCAATTCAGGTGCTCATGCAAGTCAAAAGCAAAAGGGCAGAGAGAACACCAGAGAATCCAGTCTCCAGGCCACTGTTCTCTTGGCTCCTCTCAGATGCACCGAAGTGTCTTCAAACAGCAGAAACCCAGAAAGTCATCATGAAGGAGATATATCTAGAGGCCCATCAAAAGTATGAGCATATTCATGAATTCTATGCAATGTCCCAACCAATCCAGAAAGATTTAAGAACTATGAGAATAGATTATTTTCTAGAAATCTCCATAAAGGCAGCCTTCATTAGTAAGGAGAAACTTGCATATTGTTCTTTGCTGCCTACTAGTATTTCCCACTTGTAATTATTCTTAAGACCAGACACTGCCAGTAATGATACACAATGAATAATCTCTGTTTATTAAGAGGAATATGTTATCCATGAAGTACAAGCCTCATACTCCATTCTTTTCTCAAGAATACCTTTTCAACAAAAATAGAATTTTTCCACTAAATACCTTAATCTATACTGTATAGTCTGCTAGACAGAGAATTGCTCTGAAATAGTATTAGAAAGTTATCTACCAGTCCACCTGACTATAGCAAAAATTTTGAGAATTAAAATAGATAAAAGCAAATAAATACTTGCATTATGAGGTGAGAGGTATCCTAATTAGCCTGAATGATTATTACACAATGTGTATGCGCATTGAGACATCACAGTAAGCCCCCTAAATATATATATATGTATATATATACATATATATGTAAAATTAGTATGTGTCAATTAAAAATAAAATGATACTTGAAAAAAACACATTTTTTTAATTACTACTTACAGGAAAACAGGGATTACTACTTATAGGAAATCCCTGTAGCAGGTTGCTTCTTTCTTTTCCTTTTTTTTTTTTTTTTTTTTTGGTGCTGGGGATTGGATTGAACCCAGGGCCTTGTGCACACTAGGCGAGCACTCTACCAGCTGAGCTATATCCCCAGCCCAGCATATTGCTTTTTGAAGCTTCTTGATGCCTATGTGTCTCCCTGACAGATATAACTAATTAGCAGTCTCTTAATAAACTCTCTTAAGAGTAAAGAAAATGTTGACATCCAATTCAAGTCTTTATACATGTACTTTGTATAATGATGACCATCACATTCCACCATTCTTGTTATTCCCCTTTTAACATATTTTATATACAAACAGAAATACAAAAAGAATGGTATTTATGTGTATTAAGAATCGTAATACAAAAAAAGTAACATTACCTTAGATTAGGTAGAGGGAAGTGAAAGGAGGGGAAGGCAGGGGATAAGAAAAATAGTAAAATGAAACAGATATTATTACTGTATGTATGTATGTGACTGTATGACCAATGTGATTCTATAATATGCATACTCAGAAAAATGAGAAATGATATCCCATCTATGTATGATACGTGAAAGTTTATAAGTGCATTCTACTGTCATGTATAACTAATTAAAACAGATAAACAAATAAAAAAGCAAAAAAAAAAAAGAGTAAAGAAACTGTGAAGTGAATTTACTCACAGCTTCCAAATTTCAGTGGGCAGGCATGGGCATCCATGGGGAAGTCCTCCAAATGCATTGGGCACTCAGCTCTCACCGTCAGCCTTGTTAATTAAGAGAAAGAACAGGACACAAACAAAAGCTCTGTAGGTTAAACTCTCGCCAACAATCTGAGTTAGATGCTATTAACAGTAGCAGAGATATGAATAAAACAGGAGAGACAGGCATAAACTATAGATCATGCTAATTTGTTCATAATCTAACATCTAAAAATAATTATTTACAACAATGACAGAATTCTATTCATTTCTTATTTGCTTTGAGAAAAGAGGCAATATTTGGTTTTATGCAATGGGCAAGCATTGCCCAAGTTCTCCTAATAAGTATCATCCACTAATCCACCTGGCTAGAGCAAAATTTTTGAGAATTAAAGTAAATATAAGCAGATATATATGCATAATGAGGTATGCTATTTACCCTCATTTGATGATTACAAAATGAGTATGTGTATTGAAACATCACAATGAACCCCCTAAAATATGTAACTATTGTGTGTCAACAAAAAATAAAATAAAACTTAAAAAATACAAGCATAAACACTAATTCATCCTGCGTTGGGAAGTAGACATCAAGATCAAGGAAGAGAAGTAAAATCCTCCTGCCCTAAATGAGGCTCTGTCTCCTTCCCTAAGTATCATCAAATGCATCAACCAAAGAAGGAATGGGGGAAGGAGGAAGTGTCTTCAGGTTTTGTGAGGCTGAGATTAAAGTTTTCTTGAGAATTTCTACATGACATCATTATATTCCAGCCGGTTAGTTTTATTTTCAAACCTATGGCCAAGTTGGAGCCAGGTCTCGGCTGTGCTTCTCTGTAATCTCTGGGATGTTCTGGGGAACTAATTTCTAGTCATGTTTAAAAAAAATAAAAAAGGATGTCAAGGAAAGAAATTCACTGAAATACATTTGCTCTCCATTTGTAGAATAATGAAGGAATTTATATTCATTTTCTTTATATGATTTTGGCAAGTTTTCATAACCCATATTATTAAGTCACTAAAAAATGTGGTGGGATGTCTTTATAGCCAGTGAAATTATTAAGTGAGTATAACACTGATTACAGCAAATATGAAATGTATAGGTTAATGACTAAATTGCATTCTTAAATCAAACTGCTCAAGCAGTAACTTGTTAGCAAAGGTGGTGAGAAATTTAGGAGATGGCAGTAATATGCTGGTTATTGATGAAGAACTTTACATTCATCAGAAAACCATTATCATAAACTAGTCAGCACGTGCAAATCCTTGCCCAGAAAATCATCTTCTGGGAGGAATGAACACTAGAATTAGGTTCCAAAGCAAATGCATGTTTTGTTTGCTTGTTCGTTTGTTTTATTGTCGTTTGTCTTTGTCACCAACGGACAACATCTCAAATTTCACATATATTTAGTTTTTGGTGTTTTTTTATTTGTTTTTTGTTTGTTTTGTTTTTCATTCTGAAGTTGTATTACACTTTAATAGTTGGGTCTAATATCTAACTGGCTTTTAAAGCAGTTTTTCTTTTCCATTTGGATGTTTGTATTTGAAAAGATAGGTATCCTGGAAGCAGTTTTCTCTAAGGGCAAAATATCACTCTATTCTCATGCTGAATACTACCCACTAAATTGAGAATTTTGCCTCTATTACTTTTTTATACCAAAGGAATAACCGGATGTTGGTCAGGTAGGTCTATGAAAACATCATTCTAGCAAGTCATCTGAAAATGAAATACCGCTGCTCCCAAGAATGAGTCCCGGACAATTCAAAATTTTCCATAAATAGGGAATATTCTTAAACACCTCATGTTTTTATTTAAAATATTTCTTTAAGATGTTTCTGTAAAATAATGAAAACTTCTTTTGATTTGTGCTTCCTTCATTCAACCTTAAACATAGAGGACATTCTAGATGCTGAATTTTGTAATCATCTTGAAAAGGGAGAAATATTTATATACCAGAAAAAAATGTATATATATGTACTATATAATATACAATATATGTATAGTCTTCAGCTTAAGCAAAATTAAGAATATCTATCAATACCACTTGAAAATGCATGTACTATTTCATGTATGTATTTTCATATAAATTTATATTTTCCTTTAAGAATTCTTTAACATTCTCTATTTCTTATTTTTTGTTCTTCTGAGTAGAAAGATTTTTCCAATCTACACCATTAGATCACTTTCAGAAATTTAATTTAGACCTTGCTGAACAGTTGAACTTCACGAAGTTTTAGTGAGGAAAGAAAGTCAGTTCCTCATATAGAATTAGAGAAGATCAGAGGGATATATTGTTCTGTATTGTATTATCTAATACATACTACAAACATTTTTTCTCATTTTATATAATCATTTTTAACATATTCATGCTTCCCCAATATTCCAGTAGACTAAGATTTCAGAGAAGAGTAATTTTCAAGGTTGAAAAACTTGAAAATCAGTGTCCCACTGTGGCACCTCAGCTTGAGGGTTGCCTACAGTTGGAAGGGAAGCACAGAAAGTTCAAGGCTAAAGTGCCACTGGGCTCACCTCATGGTGTACAGTAAGGTGCCGTCCTCTGTGATCCGCAGTAGTTTGTTGGGCATTGTCATGTTATGCGCCACAGACTTCTTTCCGTTGTGAAAAAAGGTATCTGGAGTCCAGATCTTACTTGCCATTAGGTTGTTTAACCGGAGAACTGTCATGGGTCCTTTAAATTTTAATCTCTCGTCCTTCCAGCTTTGACGGAAAAACACATCTATTGTATATTCCTAGGTAATTTTGAAAAATGGCAGAGTTTACTGTGCTGTGATTTGCAATGCAAATATCTGACAAACAATGCGTAATTCTTCTAACTTTAGAAGACAAATGTGAGCTAGATGATGTTTTAGTAAACTGTGGTAGTATGTACATATTAGTGTCAGGTGAATCACTGGTTGGTGTAAAATATTTTTTTAAATACCTATAATATATGATAGATTTCTTTGTGATAGGAAAATGTTTCCAATTCTCTCCTGAAATACACAAAAGGAAGTGAACTCTGCCGCACTATGCCAACCACTGAAAGAAATAGAACATAAGACTGCTAAAACACAATCTAATGCTAAAGGATATCATGTGTAGGAAAATATTTAAATTAAATATTTGCAGCCACATAGACAAAGTGTAGTCTTTTGGAGAATCTCCCATGGTCTCTGAAAATGTCACACCCAAACCTGTCAATCACAGGTCTAATTTAGGTGTAAAGATCCCATCTTCTGTTTGGCTAGGTAAACATTTTATTTTCACAGATAATATATAGAGAATTCCAAATCTCTGTATATAGACTTTCAGTTTTTCTATTGTCCTACACAATGCAGAAGATTTTGAAAAATAAGGAATCCATTTCCACTTCCCAAAAAAGGGAAGAAGAATATAGAGTATGTGCAGGGTTGTAAGTGTATGTTTGTGATAGTATGTGTGTCTAAGTCACATGAAAAATGTGTGAGGCTTATCATCATTCACAGCCAGGGAATCTATTTATTTGAATAAACACAGCATTTCTTAGGGCCATACCCAGAGACAAACATCTGCTAATCTGAAAACAAGCAATTTGACTTACAAGCTCCTAAAATTGAAAAGGGTAATATTCATCGTCCTTGCAGGTCTTGCTACACTGGCACTAAATTTGGAACTCAATGGTTGGAAATAAAGATCACTACATTCTCCATTAATCTTCCCATGCTCAAAACCGGAAGAAGGACTAACTTGAAAACACCATGCTACATTTTCCTAATCCTCTAAGCCCTGATGCATCTGCAAGCAGCTGTTTTTAAAATCTTACACATATCATCTTTAGGATGTACAAGATAAATAATGTGTGTCTTTAGGCATTTTGTGCACAAATTTAACCACCTGTCTCTTTCCCAGGATTTAAGCAAGACTGGGCAAAACCTGAATGGAAGTTCCTCCTTCTGGCACATTTTTGATATTGCTGAGTCCTTGCTGATCAAGAAACCCACAATTATTGGTGGATAGTTTGTAATGCAACAAAAGCATTGCTAATTGTTGACTGAGACACAAAGAAAGACCCATTACGTGATGCCATTCTGTTGATGTGGGCAAGACAAGTTACCTTGTTTGCTGGTAAGGTTTTTCTGTATCTGGAAGTGTCAGGTGAATGTCACTGTGATACGAGATAGGATTTACTCTAAACACTGGTTAAGCATTGCTAAATTCAGCAGAGGGAAAACGATTTAGGCTCAGTATTGTCAGAGAAACTCATGGAATAGTAGGATGGACATACAATGGTGATTTTCCATGGAGAAAAATGGGGAAGAGACTGAATTATACCAGGAAGTGATATAGGGAAGCAGTGTTGTCCTGGAAATAACGAGACTGAATTTCTAGTCTGAGTCCAGCATGTTCTTCTTTCTGAACAGCAGACAAGCATATGAAGTAGGAATATAATAGATGAGGATATTTATTTTATCACAACCTGCTACATAAGCTCCATCTATCGGATTGAACTTCTTAAGACTTGTCAATAACAGAGAGAATGGCCACTTATAAATGAAAATTCCAGGAATGTCTAATCTGAACACATTACCATGAACTTTAACATTTTGTTCATTTGTTTGCTAGGTCCAATGAGATTTTTAATAAATTAAATACTAAGTATTAAATAAACTTAAAATGAATTTCTAAGCAAATTTATTCAAAGTATATCCCAAATGCAATGACCGCCCCCCCCCGCCAAAATTAAGAAAATTATATCAAAATTTGCCCAAGGCCTAATGTTTTTATGTTTATCATGTTTACAGCCAGCTTTGCTTGATTACCTCTGTTAGTGGCAGACACTTCATTTCACATAGGCTGTCTTCAAATACTATACTAGTCACAAATGCACACAAAGCAACACTAACTGCCTAAGGTTGACTTCCATTTTCCACTGTATTACAAATAGAATTGAAAACTGAAATCAAAGCAGTTGATGGTGATCAGCTCCGGCCTAATCAAGAGTGTAAATATTTAGCCTCCCATTTTCTAAGAACTACCCTTGCATGATTACCATGGCAGCAGTAGGTGGCTCCTAGTAGCGATTTATATACCAAAACCTTGTTCCAATCACCAGAATTCATTAGCTCAAGATTGGGTATCTTGACCAAGATGGACAAACCCCCTTACTCAGAACTTGGGATAAGAAGGGGGGGTGGTGAAGATTTATAAAATTAGATATTATGAATATGAATAAAAATTTTAAACTTGCTGGCTAACCTACCTCCAGGAATTTTGTACCCTACATCGCCATGTTCTAACCTATGAAAGTAGGAAAATTTAAGTTGACAATTGTAAGAAGTGAGTCACTACATGTGAATAGAATTTCTAGAATATAGGAAGCTCATAGTATACATTAGAAATTATTCTTTGTCTCATTATTTTATCAACACAAAATTTTATTAGATTTCTATGTA